GGAGCGGGAGCGCTGCGGGGACGCGGGGGCGAGCAGCCCCGCCGCGGCACGGGCGGGGAGGGGTGCGGGCAGGAGGGAGCGAGAGGCCGAGACCCCTCCGGAGCAGTCACACCGGGTTTACCTAGCCCGTTCCCAAAACCAAAGAACGGGAGCCCTTCGGGTTCGTGCGCCAAGCCGCGCCGGTGCCGTGCGGTTGCAAAGGCGTCCCCCGGTACAGCCCGGCGTCGGTCTAAGCGGGTTGCAGCTCGCCCTGCTTGCAGCGCGCAGGCGAGTGTCTTCACTGCGAGCTCCCGCCCTGCCTTTGCTCAGTCTTTTCTGCACAAACCCGAGTCTTCTGGTCTTCTTCCTACAGATCGTAAAGTTTTCTACAACTCCGGTCGTTTTTCTTGCTCTCTGACGGACTGAGTCCCAGCGGCTCTCTCTTCCCTGCAGCCTGGCGCAGGAACCTTGACGCTGAACTCAGCTGAGGCCCTTCCAGACCTGAGGAAAGCAAAAGGTTCACTTCACGTCCATGGAGATGAAACAATGTTTGTTTGCTTTCTGGCTAGGCTTGAGATCTCCCGGCTCCTGCGATACGGCAGGTTTAACACGTACGGCTGTAGGCATCGATTACACAAACAGTCTAATTGTTTGGTTTTATGCTTCCATTGCCATGAACACCAGCGTTAATTCGTTTTTGACCCACTTTAACACCCGGAGCCCTTCCTGCAGAGCTATTAAAGCACTGGCAACGCAGGGTTATGCATTTGTACGGACGGTTGTTCCTCCTTAACTGAATTACCTACTGTTTGTTTTACATAATTTCCTCAACTTGCCAAGATCACTTTTATTTCTCAGAAGTGTTTGCAGCTCCTCCTGCTCTGGCAAAAACTTATGCTGGTCTTGGAGACGTTACTGAAAGTATTTAGCTCCAGCAGGCCCTGCAGAACCGGGCTTCAAACTTTCTTCCGCCGGCACAAGGGAGCCGGTACTCTGAAGTATGCCTTCCCCACTACTTCTACACCCGCTTACAGACGAGGGACAGCCCACCCGAAGCCCTCCTTTCCCTTGGCCGCCAATGAAAAAATACAGCCAGAGAGAGGGGCAAAGGCTTTCTGAAGCTAATGACAACCACGGGAACCTCGTCTCGAGCGTTTCTCAGCTATCCGCTAGGGCGGTTGCTCCTGGCAGAGAAAAAATTTGATTGATTTACTGTGACCTGTGCTTCAGTATTGCCTAACGTGGATTCGTGGCGTTTCAACGATACGGCCACTCGCAAGTTAGATGGGTGGGTTTGGTTACGGGCCTCTAGTCGCTGGGATCGGGCTGACCGAACTGGGTTGCTGAGGTCCGTCCGTCCCTTCTGTTTAACTGTAAGGACGCTTTTGCTCTCTTCCTCTTCCTGAGGCTTGACAAATCGCCGAGGGAGACATCCAGCCGGTTGCCTGTCGTAGAACTTGATTTTTAAAACGTTTAGCGTATCTGAATATCGTTGAGTTTGGGGTTTTGGGTGAGTGGTTTTTGCTTGCGTCCCCCGCCCCCGCTGCAGCCCAAGCCCCGATGCTTCGATGGCGGCGCTGGGGAGGAGCCCGGCGGAGGAGCCCCCGCCGCGGCCGACCCGAAGCGGGGATTTTTCCCCTCATTTTGTTGGCGCCGCGAACGGAGGCGCGCGGGGCGGGGCCGCGCGGGAGGCGCGCG